TCTTAAATCGCTTTCTCTCCAACGTTCACAGCTGTATTTCTTTCGATATCTCGCGGAACAGACACGTCAGTCTTCTCGAAATACTACGTGTTGTATCAGAATCGTAGGCAGAAGTGTGGTGACGTCCAACGGTAGTAGTACGACTCCACGAGTGGAATAATATCGTGTCAGTCTTCGGTATATTCAGGTCATAGTTTGCGACTGTTATCGACGGTAGTGTGAATTATCTACGGATATCTCCAGGAATGTCCGAGTACTCGATGCAGACATTTGTCGAGTTCGCGGTTGATTGGCGCACATGTCGTTGGTTTATCGCGTTGCTTACGACTGGGTTCTCCCCTCGAGAAGTGGTAACTAAGCGCGACCCGAAAAGGCGTCATAGAAAGACGATGGGGTAGCGGGGATTAGGCAATTCTATTTCGAGACCGGTGGCGTATACGCGCCACTTGCCCGTTCAAACTCGACGTAGTCGTTTACGTAGTCGAACTCGGCGCTCGCTCGACTTCGAGATATCGAACTCGACCATATGGCGAATTCAACGCTACCTACGTCACAGTGACGAGCAACCGTGTTACCAACAATCGTTAATCTTCGTGACGAATCCCCGTTATTTACGTTATTATCGAATCAGAGAGAAAAAGTATTCTCAGTATATTCTTATACAGAATGGGATCTCGTTCGTGATTTTTTTTTTTCTTCCGGAAAATAAACGTGAAAGAGAGTGAATCCATTTCGAATTCTCCCGTTTTTTTCGAGCGAGATTTTATTATAGATGCGAATGAATATTCTTGGCGCGGCTGTGTACAATGATACACGCGGCTCTCAAAGGGGCTACGTGTCTGTTAAGTGGAATACACCTATCAATAGCTCTCTTTAGACGGCGTATCCGGGTACGCAACATGTACACAAAAGCTTTTCATTATCGGAGTATATACATTTCCAATATGGCGGAGACAGCGTATCGAGCAGGAAATGATACGTACCTCCGTTAAGGCCTTCTTATCGGCGACTTTGGCACTTTGTAAAAGGCGTATCACGTTCTTAGCCCCTTCCACGACCGCGGCTTCGATCCGTAAACGATGTCGAAGCTCCTCCACCCTTTCCTCCAACGCCAACTCCAAACTAGGCTCGTACCTGTCTGTAATTAGAAAGTTATCCATCACGGTTTTCGTACATATATATATATATATATTGAACGAGTTATGTAACGATTATTATTCTCACAGCGAGTCGAGTGACAATGTTTTATATTCGCTCGAGCGATTTTTCTTTGTGGGGAATTGAAAGTACGGGAAAGTATAGGAAATTCCGAACGGATGGATGATTTAATAGAACTAGACTGTGATAACTCGATATCTACACATTGAAGGCAAGATTGTTTTTGCGTCACGCGAGAATGGATTGTCCTTCAAATAATATCAATATGTATATATATATATTACTTGGTTTCTTTTTTTTTTTTTGTTTTTTGTTTCAGTGAATAATGAACTTCGAATCGAGGAGATAAAAGAGGTGTTACGTGCAGCGCACGTGGAGCGTGTACATAAATATTTCCTGCGATATGCAAGGTAATAAATTAGTTTAAAATATTATCGTTAGAATTTGTAATGATAATCTAATAATTGTTCGACAGAATCGATGTTGTCACGAATATTTTTAAATTATTAAAAAATATACTTGCGATCCAAGAAATACAATGTATATTAAGAAATACAATCACGTAAGAGAGCATCATTTATGCAATCACCGGTTGCTGAGTCGAAGCGTTAGGTAATAAAAAGAAGATGTCGAATTGGACGGACGTAATATCTCATCTAAATTATCATCCATATTCGGCCGGTTATTCAATATATAAGAACGCGTGTGTAAATATATACGCACGAAACTTCGATCGAAACTTAATTGCCAATAATTAAGTCGTCCTCGCGGTGAGTCAATTTTGTACCTTTGTTGCTAGTCGTCTCGCCGTTCGGCGGTGGTGCATCGCCTCGCGCGTGCTGCTGCTGACGAGCCTGCCGCACTTTCATTATTCGCATACGTAGGAACTCGATTTTAGCGCGAGAATCGTCGAGCATTTGTTGAGCCTCCTGCAGCAACTTTTTGTCCCTTCCGCTCGTCAAACTCTGGATCATGTTCTCCGCCCCCTGTTTCACCTGCAATTTCAACAGGGAAGACGAATCACTACGAATATTAATTTGATTCATTTGGTTTTTAAATCGTGCAGGTATACATCTTGGTTGGACCACCTCGAATTCGATTAATTTTTAAAAAGAACAACTTAAAGTGTTTATCCATTTCACAGTGTACAAAAATCAAAAGTTACTTACAAATTAAGAAGGAACAATTCACTAGAGTTACATCGCTATGAAGTTACTGAAGAAAAAATATTCGAATTCTGTATTACAATTTATTAAAGTAACACTAGCTTTTTCCCCTAAATCGAGAATGGTTGAACGGTTCACCTTTTTGAAGGAAAATTTCGGCATTGTCGCTGCTCGCCTTTCCACGCCAACATCTGATAAACGACTACGCGTTTTCTAAACATTGTAAGTATTCACCAGCTCGATAGTTTAAACCTATTACACGAAACTGATCGCGCAATATGACGTAGGGATACTCTGCATACATCGATTGTTGTTGGACATTGAAAATTCGTTGACATCCCCGGGCCTGGCTGAACGCCAAAAAATTTGACGATTTCCTCTGTCGAAAACTTTCTGATCTGAGTCAGAAATCAACGCAATTAGCTTGAATGTTTATCACATTAGAAATTATTATCAACCGAAAGTGTAAAACGTTAACAATATTTTTTTTTTTTTAAACCTAGCAGAATTTCCCTCTTAGCAAGGCTCCACACATTTACAAAGTTGATAAAAGTTATTCTTGGATTTTATCAGAAACCAGATTTGAATAATAACATCCGTTTATGATCAGATCAATGATTACGAGTCGAAATGAATATGGAGATGGAAAAACAAGTTCAAAGCTTGCTGTTCCGATTAAAGTGTGACGAAACGAGAGGCTATCTTTGGTGGAAAGAGGGAGAAAAAAATCCTGACGATTCATTCTGCTGATTCATGCAACGAGAACTGTTACCCTGGTGTCTCCCCGCGATAGGAAATATCCTCGTTATGCACGATATTAAGATATTCTGGATGGAAAACCCTGCAATTTTACAGTTATAACATCCTCTTTTTTTTTTCATCAATACTGTTATTCAATGCTGTTTAAAATCTTGCTCTTATCTTGCTAATAATTAATTCAAATTGATATATATATAATTTTGACGAAGAGACGAAACGATCGAATTTATCATCCTTTTGTCGTTTTCCTCGAAACGATGGTCTACCTTGAGTTCGATATTGAGCTGCTTCTCCAAGGACAAAAGGCGAAGATCCGTGAATAGACCCTCCTGACTCGGTGACGACGGCCCCATTGGTGACAGAGGCGTGTCTGAAACGAAAATAGGCATTGAAAGTATAAAAATCCCCTTCTCGATACCATCTAAACATTTGTCTTTTTCCATTAGCTTTATCAATCAATTATCGAGAAAACTTGATCTCATTAGCTTAATCTCTATCTCAATAAAAGTAATTCGATTATTTTTTCTTTTTTTCTCCAAATTCGTTTCTTTCTATTTCAGTGCTGTAATTGTTGCATATAACACGAATACCAAGTTAGAATGCAAACACGAGAGATAAAGCTTTCTTTTTTTACGTTCTCAAACTCATCAAATACTTTCCAATACTCTCGAATGGATGGTTTCGATGCAAGATCGAATTCATTTATCGAGTTCATTTCGAGAAGAAGTCAAGTATCGGTTTAAAAAAAAAAAAAAGAAAAATAAAACGGATCGAAGCGAGAATGAGACGGTTGAGAAGAGCGTGGGCGTGAATTCGCGCCAGTACATCTCGTTACATCTCTGCACAAGCGCCTCGAGTGTCCAATAGTGAAATCGCAAGGTACTCGAATCCCACTTCCTGTAACCTACTAGAGATATCTCCGGACTCCCACGTATTTAATGCACTCCCAGGCACAATGCGAGCGCGGAAAAAAAAGCGCTACTCCTCTTTTCTTTGTCTCTGTTTGCTCGCCAATTTCCCATCGCCTGTGTTTTCACTCGCGCTGAATTATCGAACACGATTCTAAAACGAGATTTTTTTCGACAAAGTAAAATTAAAAAGAGACGAATAATTTCGTTCAAGTGCAAAATAAATTATTCTTCGAGTTTTAAGTGAGTAATAATTGCAAGCATAAGGAATCTGAAGATGGTTAAAATTAATTATTAAATAATTTAAGAACGTGTTACAGATCTGTACATATATATATTTTGAGGTTAGAATACAGTAAACAATAAGGTTGGCCTCCATATCCCCGGTCGAAATACGTGGAATGACGAACGACGTGTAGATTAATTAACGTTTCAATTACAATTTATCGAATCTATCGAAAAGAACTCGAACAATCGTATCTCCACGATCTTGTACCGTTCCATCATTGCCTATCTCAAAACTGTATACACGCGATTTATTTTATCGAGATGGAAATATATATGTAACTAGATATAGTTATTTATTTTCATTACACGCCACATTCATTACTAGTTCATTTATATCTGTATAAAATATTTAGATACGCATCGAAGGCAATTCCATTTGCCGTTAACGTGGAACAAAGTTAACCTCGTCGATTTATCGTTGAATAAACTTGCATCGATCTTTTATAGACGGTTATTATATATATATATATATATATATATATATACATACTA